TATATATATATATATATATATATATATATATATATATATATCTTGAATTCTAGGTAGAATTTTAGGAAGACACAAAAATCAATGTACTCTTTACACATTATCCAATTCTGGAAGTAATTTACTACTTAATGAAGTTAATAGACAAGCATCAAAAATACCATATGTCAGTGCTGATTTGAGTTTAACTAATATCAATTATCATTGTACACTTAATGCAGAAAAAATATTGTCTTTGTGGGATATAAATAGTGCGTAAGTATTTTTTTGTATCTCATATTTTAATTATGTATTATCTTTCCAGTATCAGTATTTTTTTTTTATAGAAATTATATTAGTAGTGGCGCTCTATTACAAGACAATACAACTCGTATGGGCGATGCTTGGGGATGCATAAGATTTCAAGAAACAGATCCAAACCTTTTGATTTATGTGGATAGATGTTGTTTGCATTATCTCGATACTAGGGTAAGAAATTAACAAGTTTTAAATCTATTTATTTTCTCACATTATTATAAATTTCACATATTTAAAATACATAATAAGAATATATTTGTCATCTATTATATTAGAATTATTGTATGAATATAATTATATATCAGAAATGTTAATTACACATTCCTCAAAGATGTCAGTATCTTTTGATTTAGGACTTTTTTGAACATTATTCATAGAATCTTGTTTAGATTTATATTCAATATATCCTAAATACATTTTAATAAATAAAATCAAATTTACAATCAATAAGAGAATTTTTAATTGTTCTCAAATTTTTTCATTAGAAATAGCCCCTTGATTTAGGGAATTTATTATTAGAATATTATTATTATTCTGATTATTTTACAGACTAGTCTTGATCGAGCGTGTATTACGTTATGTCCAAAATTTAATTTGGAAAATTGTGAAAGTTTGTCGATAGAAGCACCGAGTAAACATAATTGTTGTCGATACTTGGGCACTTATCATTCTTTCTTAATGTGCGATAATCGTTCTCCAAAGCAATGCGTACGTCAGAAATGGACGCATCAATTTAAGGATGTCCCATTATTAGCAGCTGTAACAAATAGGTTAATAATGTTAAATTAAAATTTTAATTCTAATAATTGTGATTATATAATCAGTGTTAATATTAATTACAGCGATGATAAGGAAATTATTGTCCTTTCAACTCAAAAATCTGGCGAAAACACAATAATTTTGAACACGTGGTTGAGTGAAGAGGATTCCCATTCTTTTAATTTGCCCTTCACACCTCCATATATTGCAGAAACGTTGAATGAGTCCCAATTGCAAGGAATGTGTTTAAATCCGTATTTACGAAGCAGATTTAAATTATGTAACGTTGGTAGTATGTTAGTTGCAGATGTAAAGAAAGCAGCAATATTCCACTTTATTCAAAATTCTATTGGTATAATTACATTATATTTATATTAAATATCTTTATTTTAATATTTGAAAACATGATATATATACATATCTTCTTGCTCTTCTCAGGTGATATATTTTATCAATGTGTAACACACGAAAATATATTGGACAAGTACTCTCCTGTAAATGGCAAAGCTTGTTATGCATTAGACATGTGGGAGAAAGCTTTATCAGCTCAACCTGAGCCGCTAGTACCTTTAACTCTTACCGACAAATGCAATATGCAATACATATATGAAAGTAAATGAACATTTCTGTTTTTAAATGCATTTTTACTATACATAAGTATCAAATAATGCAAAACATAAAATAATTTTATAGATTTCTCGAATAAAACGCTCAGCCGCCCTGTAAAATCAACCGAAGAAAATGCAGATGACGGTTTTGAACCAACATGGAAACAATCATTAGCTACGTTAGGATCGTATATAGATCTATTAGCACCAGAACTTCTTGCAGTTTGGGAAATACGTGAAGACGTATCTGTACCGGTAGGGGCGGGATCTCATCAAAAAGTTTTAAATTGGTTAGAATCCTCGACTCTGAATCATTCCAATATGCAATCACAAGATGAGCCGGAATATATACCTACACCTGTCAATACTCAAGAATTGATTAGCGTTTCTCAAGAACACGATCTTACGTACATTGAAGATAGTGATGTATTACAAGGAATACTATTGCCGAAAGTTAAATCAGAAAATAACAGCAGGAAAAAGCGTATTTAAATAATTTACAATTAACTATACAATTGAAATATATTATTTGACGTTAATATTTTTATATTTTGGTATATAATATATATCAACTTACTTTACTTTGGTATATAATATATACCAAAGTTATTTGTGTGTGTTTGTAAAAATTTGTGTATGTTTCTAAAAAAATATTTTATTACATGCATTTTATATTCATTACGTGATGTAATATTGGTATTACGTATGTTATAAATGAATAGAATTATTTTGAGAACATCATTTAACATTGTATTTTATTAATAAAAATTAAATGATAATCATTATGCACAATATCAGTCGCTATAAAATAATTGAATATCTTGTGCACTTCAGTGATCCAATATTACAAATTTTAATGCGGTTGATTTCTTTTGACTAGCGGTTTCGTAGAAAAGATGGTTTCCATTTCGAAGTAAGTATTTTACTGCTGTCCTGTTGCGCCTTATTTTGTTCTTCTTCCATTTGCATCTGCTAACAATCGCCATTATAATTAAAAAAACATTTTATAAGGATTATAATGCTACTATTGCAATTTACCAAATATTTTCGTCGATTTTCTTTAAACATTTCCAAGGGATTATCAAACTGTCTATAGTAATTTAACACATCTCGCACATCTTGTACATTTGATGTTAATATCGCTAAAAAAAATACCCTTGTTAGTCAGTAGAAATTATAATAATGCTAATATTTATAATTTATTTATAAAATTGTTACCAGCAATAATAATGTTAAATAAAATTTTTAGAGCATATAGTAGTACTTAAGATTCATCTTACTTTTGAGGAATGCCGCTAAGTCATATAACGTAGTGTCATCATCGTTACCCGTCCATCGAGGAAGTTTAAATGCATTTTCTGGATGTAATTTTACACTCTCGTCATTCCAATCGATAACAATAACCTATAATTATAACATACAATAGTTATAGTGTAGAAAAATTTCATAATGAAAAGAAAGATGCTTCTTTTAATATTATAATAATAATTACTTTATTAAGATCACGATTGAGAGCTCCCAGATCTTTAACGTGATGTCCATCCACAAAACGCGTAGCGTCTCTAACTAATCTATACATTATATAGCCATTTGGATCAAGTGCATCCAAAATAGGAAATACTGTCTGTAATTGAAATCGATGAATATAATTTTTTTCAAGTAAACGATAAAAATAGAAATAAAATGACGTGCAAAAAAGAAAAATTAAAATCAATGATTATACCATTCCTTGTTCAGCTGTATAAATCACAATTTCAAATTGAGGTGGGGCAACTGCTTCTAAAAACTGATCCACTCCAGGTCGTTTTTAAATCTCCATCCAGTTTATACTATAAATAGTACACACACACAC